AAAAATTAAAAATTTCTTACCTGCGATTATCATCATCATCATCATCATCATCCTCATTATTGATAACAATGATGATGATAATAATAATAATAATACTAAAGTGTTTTTTTTAAAATCCCACAAAAAAAAAATTTTTATTTCTTAGCTACAAGTTTTTTCTATAAATTAAATTTTATGGGGAGTCGCAACAGTAAATATACCAAATCTAATTTTTATTAATTAACAATTAATCAAAGGTCAAAGGTTAACAAACGAATATCTCTTTTTTCGCGAAATACCAACCAAAACCATTAAAACACGTTATCAACGCATGGTTCTTGTTTATGTTTACGTCTCATCCTAAATTTTTCCTACTTTTCCGCCATATTGAAATTATTTTTCTCTTTTGCAATCGATTATCATTCACACACCACACTTCCCACCCCACCTCCCCCCCAAAAAAAAAACAAAAAACTAAAAAAACTAAAAAATAAAATAAAATAAAACAAAACAAAAAAAGGAAAGTAAAATAAAATAAAATAAAATAAAAAAATAAAAAATAAAATAAAAAATTTTTTCGTTTATTTTTTTTATTTTTTTTTTTTTTTTTTGTACAAAGGAAAAAAAAACTAAAAGAAATAATAATAATAATAATAAACAATTAAATTACATTTGAAAATAAAATTAAAAAAAAAAAATTATTTCATTCATACACAAGCTAAACATAGGCTTAAGTTTTTTTTTTTTTTTTGTTAATTTTTTAATTAAAATTTTTTTTTTTTTTCAAATTTTCTAGCGAGGATTTTTTTTTTTTTTAATTATTTCCTAAAGTTACAATTCGAATTAATTGTTTGTTTGTTTGTTTGTTTGTGTTTTGTTTGTTTTTTTTTTTTTAAATAATAATATTAAAAAATTTATATATATATGTATATATGTATATAAAATATTTACATGCGATTTGTTTTGTTACTACGCATAATATATATGCCAATTTATTTACGTTTGTTTGTTTGTTTTTGTTTGTCCCTACGTTCTGTCGCGGTTTTCACTTAATGATAATGATAATGATAATAATAGTAATAATAATCGTTAGAATTAAATACATTCTATCATTTTCATTTTTTTTTCGTGCGATCGATTAAAAAAAAAAATCGTTTGTCGTCTGTCGTTAACCGAAAAAAAAAAAAAGAAAAATTAAAATAATAATAATGATGATGATGATAATAATAATAATAATAATAATAATAATAATAATAACAATAATAATGAAAAATTCTATTGAGGCAATCAACTGATTAACGATTTGAAAACAATTTTTTTGTTTGCTAAAAAAAAAAAAAACAACGGAAGACAAACGATTTCCTTTTTTTTTCGTTTAAATTTTTACTTATTACGATGACGTATTTTATGTGATAATAATAATAATAATAATATTCATGAAAAATAATAATAATAATAATAATAATAATAATAATGGTAATAAATAAGTAAATAAAAATCGTAATTTTTTTTTACTTTCATAAATGATCAATCGATAAAAAAAATAAATTATTATTATTATTATAATTATTATTATAATTATTATTATTATTATTATAATTATTATTATTATTATTATTATTATTATTATTATTATTATCATTATCATAATCATCATTATCATAAAATTAATTTACAAAAAAAAAAAAAAATTAAATTAAAAAGAAAAAAAAAACGTAAGTAATAATAATAATAATAAATAAATAAATTATCGCAATCATTTGTTTTTTTTTTTTTTTAATTTGTTGTTGTTGTTGTTTTACGTTTGCCTCCCTGCTCCCCCGCCTCCCCCCCGTCCGTTCGATATCCGTCGTCGTATTTTAACGTCACGTTTTGTATCTTATTGATAAGACCTATCAATCACGCACGCACACATATAGTTAATGGCGATTTCGCGTACGATGACAACAAAAAAAAAAAAATTTGGTTGTTTTGAGTGTGTGGGGGCGTGTGCGTGCGTTCGTGCGCATACACGCATAAACAAATAAACGCACGTGTTAGGATGATATTACGAAACAGTGGAAATGCATTCAAACGTCATCAAAAGTTCCTTAAAACAACCAAAAATTTTTTTTTTTTTTTCTAACTACGTCGTCTGCATTTTCATATTGTATTTCAGTCGAAATATATAAATATAATATATATTTATGCATATAATAATAATAATAATAATAATAATAATAATAATAATGATAATAATATAAAAATTTTACATTTTTTTTTTTTATGTAATATAAAAGAAGTCGGCGTACGGAAACCCCACGTAATGCATTCGTTTAATTTATTATTATTATTACTGTCATTATACTTATTTGCGTTTCTTAAGTAAAGTGAGCGAGTGAGTGTGCGTGTATCTATGTGCGCGTGGATATATTCATATATTATTATTATTATTATTTAAATGCTAACGTATAAAAAAATATATAAATAAATTTTGATGCTGAACGTGATTATTATTATTATATATATATGCAATCCGTTTTTTTATGATATGTACTTTATGCTCGTGAATTTGTTTGTTAATGAGTCGCGATTGATAATAACGATTAATTTAAGGGAGGAGGAGACCGAGTTAAAGAGAAGTAAGTGATTGAAAAAAAAAAAAAAACGTTCTGACGATTTTATTTTGAATTTTGAAATTTTTAAAAAGAAATACATCGCGACGATTTGTTTGTATGATTGTTCGTTTGTTTGTTTCGTTTGTCGCATTTTTTATTTTTTAATTACGTGAGAATTTTTTTTGCAATAAGAATCGAATAAATAAATAAAATAAAAAAAAGAATGAAAAAAAAAAAACAAAAATTCGTTATTATTTCTCTCTTTCTCACTTTTGACAGGAAGGAAATAAATATTATTTTTGCGTATATTAATTTATAATATAAAAAAAAAACCGTTTTTGGGTTTTGACGTGGGACTAGAAAGAAAAAAAAACCCGCCTCAAAAATTTTTTTTGGCAGTTTTTCCCGAGACAAATACAATGTCGAGGCGGTTTTTTTTTTTTTTTTTGTTCTCGATAATTTCAATCATTTCGGTTTCTTTTTTTTTTTTCATTTCTCATTTTGATTGTTCGATTTGAAACCGAAAGAGTAATAAAAAAAATACAGTGTGAGAGAGAGACAGAGAGATAATGATAAATAAACTAAAAAGTGAGTGAGAGAGAGAGAGAGAGAAAAATAGGCGTGCAACTAAAAAAAAAAAAAAAAACCCATTGATTACCGATACAATAAAATCGAACTCTATTGATTAAATGTTTCTTCGTTAATAATAATAATAATAATAATATAAAAAGAAAAAGGAATATAAGAGAAAAAGAAATGAGCAGAATTGTCGCAGAAAAATAAACCGAATAATAATAATAATAATAATAATAATAATAATAAAGGAAGGAGAAAAAAAAAGGTTCTTTTCATCAAAATGGCGGATGGGGATAACGTACAATAGGAAACCCTCGGAAATCTTGTTATTCATCGGGGTCGCCTTGTTTCTTTAATGATTTTGCAATTGTTACAAAGGAAAGAGAGAGAGAGAGAGAGGAGGAAGAAAAAGAGAGAGAGATGAAAAAAGGGATGAAGAAACGATAGGATACGATACGATACGATCCAATGGTAGGTAAAAAGAAAAAAAAAATGAATTCTCGTAATTTATTATTATTATTATTATTAACGTCGACGTTGCAGTAGCAGAAGTAGTAGTAGAGGTGGTTGTTGTTGTTGTTGTTGTTGTCGTTGCCGTTTCGTCGTCATAATTCATTTAAAAAGTTACCCCGAATATTTGTTACGAGTTAGGCGGGATCATTGAAATCAATTTTTTTTTCCTTTTTCTTTCGTCATCGGCGACAGCGAAAATACCTGCCGACCTTTAACCCCTTTTCATTTTTGTCGTCGTCGTCGTCTGCTGTTCGTTAATTTTTTTTTTTTAAATGTTTTTCTCGTCAACTTTTCGAGGGTTTGTCAAAACAAAACAAAATTTAAAATTTTTTTAAATTTTCAATGGGAAAATAATTTGCAACAACCCCCCTATAAAAAATTTTAAAACTACCCGAAAAATTCGTTTCTCACCACGTCATCATCCACCCTCCTTCCCTCCCCCCTCTCCCCTTTACGTTTCATGCAACAATCGACAGGTCAAAACTTACAAATGGAATGAAAATCATCAACCTATTAAAAAAAACATAAACAATGTCTGTAGGAAATTTTTTTTAAAGACGTCATCACGTCTTATAAAAAAAAAATTTACACCCATAAGCTAATAATTATACGCATTTTTTACATGCGTACACGCACGCGTTTTTTTTTTTTTTTTTTAAATTTATCGGTTACGTATTAAATATTAAAAACGTGATTTATGACGTGGTTGAACTTTATTTCCGATCGGCAATAATTTAACGAAGAACAACAACAACAAAAACAACAACAACGTTTATGATTGTCTTCTTTACAAACAGAAAAAATATTAATTAAAACTTAAAAAAAAAAATTGTTGTTTGCACGCAAGAGACAGAATGAGAGATAGTGATTGATTGTTTGTTTGTGTGTGCGTTTGTTAAGGTTAGTTAGTGACGTCACTTACTCGAGATTTTCAAATGAAAAAATGTTTATTTTAAAAAAAATTATTGTTTTAATCGTTTTGTTTTGGCTGTTTAATAATAATAATAATAAAATTAATAATATAACAAACGAATGTAAAATGTTTACATTATACAGTCTGCCACCACTTTTTTTTTCTTTTCTTTTCTCACGTCAAAAATTATTTTAATTATTAATTTTTTTTAAAAAATAAGAAAAAAATCGTCAGAAAGTTTTTTTTTTTTTTTTTTGCTTGTTTGTTCGTTTGTTTGTTGGTTTTACAAAAGATTTTATATAAAAGTTGCACCGGCAACTCGTGTCAGAGAGAGAAAAAAAAAATTTTTAAATAAATACATATATAACTAAAAAAAAACATACACGACGACAGAACAAAAAAAAATAATAATAATAATTTTTTTAAAATTCAGACTCACCAGCCGACGAATTGACCATCGAGGGATGAATGAATCCCGGAAGACCGTAGAGTTGTTGTAACAAAGCCATTTCCTCTTTCATTTCTTTGTTCAATTCCATTTTGGGTAGTAACCCTGTTGCTGCTGCCATTTGTAGTAATTGCAATTGAGCAATTTCATCCAATTTTGTTTTGTCATCTGATTTTGACGACATCAAACCCGATGCTGCTGCCAGTTGTAACATTTGCAACTGTGCCATTTCTTCGGCTCTGGGTATTTTATCTTTCATCATGCCCGTTGCGGCTGCCATTTGAAGGATTTGCAATTGTGCCAAATGTTGATTTGTCGTGTTGTTGTTATTATTGTGATTAACGATCGGAGTCGTTGAGGATTGCTGTTGTTCGGTGCTCGAACCCGGTACGGGTGGAACCGTAAAATCTTGATCGCTGTTACTTCCGGATTCTTGTTCCACGTTTAATTTCACGTTGTCTATGTGTGATTTCGTAAATATGTGATCTTGCACGGAATATTTATGTGAATATTTAAAATCGCATAATTTGCATTCTTCCGGTGTTTTTTCCGAACCTTCTTCTCCTCCGCTTCCTTTTTGCAATGTTATTTTAGCTTTTTTATCTTTGGCTCGAGCGTTTTGAAACCAGACTTGTATGACACGTTTGGGCAATCCGATTTCTCTACCTAATATTTCGCATTCGGACATTGTTGGCGTTTTGTAGTCGCCGAAAAGAGATTTCATGACTTTTATTTGAGTGTTGCTCATTTGTGTTCGAAATCTTTTGTTTTGTTTTTGGTTATTGCTTTGAGTGCTTGATGCCGGGGATACGGGATTGCTGTCGTCGTAGTAAAACATTTCGGTTGTTTCTGACGCGGAATCGTCGTCGTTGAGACTTTTCTCGCTGAGATCCGTTAGCGGTCCGATATCTATGACTCTTGAATCGTCCATGCTAACTTTCATTTGTTTACTGAGATCTACGGGTTTGCTTAAATCCAACGGACACTCTCCTCTTTCGTCCATTTTTTCACCGTTTTGATTCTGTTGCAATTCGCTCATGTAACGTTTCATCGATTCCTCGTAATATTTTTTTATTGAATCAATGTCGGAATTGAACGAGGAAAACAATGGAGATATAGCGTTTGAATTGCTGTTACCCTGTTGAAAGTTAGATATGGACTCGAGGCTAAGCTCTTCGTCCGGTAGTGAGTCTATATTAATCTCTCCTCTTGCGTACTGATCAGAATGTTTCGTTTGCAAATGACTTTCAAGTGCTGATTTAACTTTGAACAAAGCCGGACAAAACGGACACCTTTTGTTAATGACTTGAGCGTGAGCTCTGAACTGTCCTTTTCTCTCTCTGGCTCTCGTATTTTGAAACCATACTTGTACCACTCGTTTTTTCAGTCCGACCTCTCTCGCAATGCTTTCTAACATTTTCCTACTTGGATTGCTTTCAATCTGATATTTTTGATACAAATAATCTAATTGTTCGGGTAAAATCGTTGTTCTGAGTCTTTTGTCTTTGGGTTGATCGCCTCCGGTGTCCGACATGTCGTCGTAGTCTTCGAATTTTCTTTTGTTCGATAACATGGCAGCGAGAGGATGTTGCGACGAGTTCATCGAAAGATCTACGCTCATGCTAGCCAATTGTTGTTGGTGTTGCAATTGAGCGTGCTGTTGCAATAAACCGAACGGTATGTCGGAAGGATAAGTCGGAAATAAATTCGGATTCATTATGTGGACCAATTGATGCTCTCGCCAAAGATCAAATCTCGGAAAAACTAAATTACATTTATCGCATTGAAAGGTTCCGTCTTTGTTGTTCGGATCGGGTGTCGGAGTGTTGGAAGGAGCCGGAGATTGAGGGTAAAGATTTTGCGATGGATTCGACGGGGTAGGTGTCACCGGTGCTGATGGCGTGGGTGGATTGCTTTGAGCGGATGACGATACCGAAGCCGTCGGTTGATTTTGATGTTGTTGGTTTTCGATTGTACTGGAATTTGAGTCTTCGCTTGATAAAACGGCCGCGATTTGAGCCGCAGCCGCTTGAGCTTGAGCAGAACGCTTGGCATCTTCTTCTTTAAAGCAATGAGTCTTCTGATGTCTGATGAGTTCGTAGTATCTTTGAAATACGAGTAAGCATTTTTTACATTGATAATTCAGTCCGGGAGTTCTTTGAAAGCGACCGGCTTCGTTTCCATCAGCTCCCGGAGCCGGTTCAACCGGAGGTTGATTTTCATAAACTTTTCTAGCTTTTTGTCGTGCGTTTTGAAACCACACGACGATCACTCTCGGACTGAGACTTAACAATTTTGACAAATATTCCAAATCGTCATCTTTCGGGTACGCATTATTTTCGAAAAATTCTTGAAGGACTTTTATCTGATAATCGGTGAATCTCGTTCTGTTGGCCCGTTTTCCGGATGCCGAACCACCGGACGAATTACTTCCGTTACTGTTACCACCGCCTCCTCCGCTTAAAGCTGAGTGTGAGAAAAAGTCTTGATTTGTCGACCGAGCCGGAGACACAGATCTCGAACTCGGCATAGATACGATGGCACTTGAATTAGGAACTTGATTTGGAGAGGCAAAATTAGGAGGAGTCAATTTTGGCGGCAACATATTTTGCGTCATCGCGGTAAGATTTCCACCCGATTCGTTCATTATATTAGACAAACTAAGTCCGTTCGGAGAGGAACTTGATAAATTTTGAGGAACTTGAGATTCGTTATGAGATATTGAATGAGGACTCTGTGGAGGATAATGATGAACCGGACTGTGAAAACTTGATTTTTCATCGAAACTATCCACGCTATCCCTTCTCATTCTTCCACGCGGTTCATCCAAAAAGCTGAACTTATCATTTTCGTGAATTTGAGAATTATCCCGATCCCGCGGCTCGGATTTAATGTGCGGGGGGTCTAGAAAGGGCGGCGGAGGAGTGCGAGATAACGGCGGCGGTTGTTGCTGCGCAAGCTGTTGACCCTGAATCTGACTCGCTTTAGAAGCCGTTTCTTTTTTTATCGGATTTGATGAGATTGAGGCCGCCGTAGGCGGCCGATGCGAGTTTTCCTTTTGAGTACCCGAATCATCCGAATTGCTACTACCGCTGCTATTTAGTGGCATAACTTTTGCCTCGCCCGTTTTCTCGTATTCTTCGAGATTTAATGTCGTCGAGGGAGGATTATTAAAATTATAAGGGGAGTCTTTGTTTCGTTGACGCTCTTTAAACAACGTATTTCTAAACCAATGTTTGATTACTTTAGGCGGGAGACCGCTTTGAGATGCCATTTCGTGAATTTGCTCTTCCGAGGGAGAATTATTTATATCGAAATGAGCTCGAAGAATTTTTAATTGATCATCTGTTATTCTTGTTCTTGCTCTTTTTTGTTGAGCTGCAGTCGCCTGTAAGGAAGAATAATAAAAAAAAAAAAATAACGACTGCAATCATTTAATGGAAGAAAAGAAAGATGGCCGGAGAACGATTCGTTATCACAAATTTTACCATCATTCTTTTTCTTCTGCGAAAGTAAAACAAAAAAAAAAAAATTTTTACTTTTCCAGGTGGTGTAAATCATGTAAACCGATCAACAAATTTAAAAAAAAAAAATTTTAATTTAATAAAATTAAAAATCACGTGGAGGATAAAATGCGGCCAGAGTCGTCGCAGAATCATTTCAGGTAGAAAAAAAAAAACGACAACTATTGACTTTTTTTTTGTGTTTGTTGGATACCTGAATAAATTTTTGACCGGGTTAGGCACGTTTTAAACTTTTTTTTTTGATTTGAATTATTAAAAAAAAAAAAATTGATAATTCGTTTTTAAGAACGTACTGCGTCAGAAACTAACGTAATTTTATGTTAAATTATTAATTCGGTTCCAAATATGTAAGCATACATGTAAGAAAACGAATGAAAGAGAGAGAGAGAGTGGAAGAGAGGGAGAAGTGTAAAAAAAGGGAAGAATTAAGGCGAAAGAGAGAGAGAGAGAATGAGTGGAATTAGGATGAGAAAGACCGCCGGATAACAAAAAAATATCAGGCAGGCAAGCAGGCAGGCAATAAAAGAAAAATCCAATTCCGATGTGGTAACAGGAATAATTAGAGTGGACGTGAGTTCGAACCGGAGCCTCCAGTAAATCAAAGTGTAAATGGAGACATTTATGCGTTTTCAAAAGTTATTTAAAAGAGAGAGAGAGAGAAAGAGTTTGCCGCATTATTACCAAAGGTCGCCATTATTGTACCTCCTCTCCATGTTTTACTTATTATTTATTTTTTTTTTTTTAATTTAATCTTCCAGCCTCTTGTTATTATTATTATTATTATTTTATTATTTTTAGGTATTAACATTGTATTCGAATTGTTAACGTGGCTATAGACTAAAAAGTCGTTGGGTTTTTTATTTTATTTACATCCTGGAAAAGTTTAGGAGTTTTGGTTTTTATAAAGAGATTAGGAAAATAATTAAAAAAAACTTACCGCTTGTTGCTGCTGCTGTAGTAAATGCTGTTGTTGTTTGGCAATCAAAGCCGCGGCTGGATCTATATTACTCTGAGATTGAAAAATCGGCGGTGCTTGTGCTTGAGCTTGAGCTTGGGCTGCTTGTGCAACTTGAGCTTGAGCCTGAGCTTGAGCTTGCGCCAATGAAACCGGATCAAAAGGCGGAGGAGGCATCATCATCGGAACAAGAGGCGGTTGTAAATTCATAGCAGCCAATGCAGGCATGTTCAATCCGAGAGGCAGGCCCATTCCCAAACCTGCCATTCCCATCATCATCGGATTAAATTGTTGCAATTGTTGCTGAAGTTGCGATGCTGCCATCGCGTTGAACGCGGCTTGCATTTCATTCATTTGCTGTGCCAAAGTCATTTGTAATGAATTTGAATTTGCCACTCCGGGACTGAGTCCGGACATTCCAGCCGGAATGGAATCCGTGCTGCTGGCCGGAGTCGATGAAGCCGTGGGCGGTGTCAAATCATCCGTTTGCATTTGCGCTATTTTTTGCATAGCATCTTTGGATTCGTCTTTTTCGGGTGTTATATCGATACCCGAACTCGTGACCGTGCACGTCGACATTGAAGTACTCGTGTTCGGAGTCGATATTGCCGTGGTTGTGGTTGTCGTCACTGTCGTGGCAATAGCCGTTTTCTTTTCGTATTCTGTTTTAAATTCTTCCGCATATTTTTCTAAAAAATCTATGGGAACGAGCTCTTTGTGAACTTCTTCGCAATGAGCTTTGAGTACCCAAACGCTTGAAAATTCTTTATGACAGTGTTGACAGGTACTTTTGCAGTTGACTTCGGGTAAATCCGTGTCTTCGTCGTCTACTTTATCGTGAGATTCCAAATTATGTTTATCAATATTTTCGCTTTGGTTTAAAAATTCTTTTTCTATTTTTTCAGCTTCCTCTCTTTCTTTTCTTTTTCTTTGGTGATTTTCATTGAATTGCATGACGAGATCAAAACCGAAACTTTCAAGCAAATGTTTGTACATTTGTGAGCATTTTTTATTTGTCAAATTAAGTCTATTGATTTCGTCACCCGGAGTACCAGGTGATTTTGGCGGCGGCGTGATACCTCTGTTCGGAGTGGACGATGAATTCGTTATTGGCGGAAATAAATTCATCGGACTCCCGAACAAACAGTAAAGTTGTTGATGAGTCGTCAATTGTTCTTGATTTTGAAATCCCGCGTTACACCTTTGACAAATCAGCGTGTCCTTATCATCCGAATCATTTTTTGGAGATTGCGGATTCAAAGGAGACGAACGGTGAAGATTAGACGAATTACTCGAGGGTGACGTAAAAGTAAATTTTTGATTCGGAGATCCGATTAAGTCGTTAACTTTTTTAGAATCTAATTTTTGGTTTGGCTGTTCGAACAACGGTTTGTTTATGTCGATTTGACCGGATATGACCAAATCTTGAAGTTTTGAAGCTCTCGTTTGATGAAGCACCGATCTCATGTGTATGTCCAACGTGGATCCTTGACTGTACGCAACTTTACATATGTTGCATTTATACGGTTTTTTATCTTCTTCTTCCGATGAAGACACGGAGGATTTTGTTAAATTCAATGACGACGGCGGAGACGTGACTCCGAGTAGGGAGGGAGTCATCGTGTTGTTGTTCGTTTGCTGCTCTTGCATTGCTTTTTTCAACTTATGTAAATGACTCACGGAATTATAATGTACCAAAAGTATATTTTTTTGCGTGAAACTTTCTTTGCAAACATCGCATTTGAACGGACGATTCGGATCCATGTATTTCTCCAACGGATAATTCATTTTCTCACCTTTCCTATGCAAAAGAGTTTTGTTGTGACTCGTCAAATACGTTTGCCTCGTGAATGCCAACTTGCACTTGTGGCATTTATATTTTCTGTTTGGATCCTTGTAACTGTCTTCAGCGATTGATTGACTGTTCAAATAATCTTCTAAAAATTGTTGTTCCTTATATGAATCATCGCTGTTATCGTCCATTTGATCTTCCTCGTCATCGTTTGATTCCTTTTTGAGCAAGTCATTTTGACACGATTCTAAAAGGTTTCCGCTTAAACCCGCCAACATGAGCGGATTGCTCATCAGACTTTGTTTGTACGTGTTTAATTCTTCCTCGGATAAATCCGTGTGAGTTAATTCAACGTGTTTATGCAACGATATTATCGATCTGAAATTTCTACCGCAAAGTATGCATTTTGTGGCGTCTCGTATTATGTGATATTGCGAATGCAATTGTAATTTTTCAACGGTTTTGAAAGCGAGACTACATTGATTGCAACGATATTTGTAAACGTGTTTTTCCGAAACCGACATATTTTGTTGGTTTTTTATATGTATTTCCCTGTAATGCAATTGCAACGTGTTTATCGTAGTGAAATATTGATTACAGCCTTTTTTCCAACAAACGTAACCGGGACCCGTGGGCGTTTGTTTTATTTCAACGTGACCCAATTCGCTTTGGTGAACGTAAAGTTCGTCAAGGGATTTGTAATTTTTCATACACGTTTGACACCTGAATTCTTCGTCCGCGTTTTCTTCGGATAACACGGGTGACGATATCACGCTCGGCTCGTCTCTTTCCTCAATTGAATCCGACGGTTTGTCTAATTCTTTGCAGTGAGACGAAGTGCTTCCACCACCGCTACTCCCCGGACTCATGTGATTTTGCTGCTGAGGTGATGAACTCCTGTTAACGGCATTCAACCAATGAGATTGATCAACGAGCATGAGCAATCTTTGCAAACCCTCAGAATTAACGCTGTGAATTTGCATGACGTGACGTTCGAGTGCCATACGATCTCTGAAACCATCCTGACAAAGCGGACAAAGGAATTCTTTCGTAGTATTTTGATTCGACGTCGGAGATGTCGACGACGAAGACGAGGGTTGTTGTTCTCTTTGTTGATTACTTTCCGATTGAGGATGTTGTGCCAATATGTGAGCTTGAATTCTTATTTCCGAATTGCTCGAATAATTACAATAAGGACATGATTGTGATGATTTTTCTTCAGACGATGCGTTTGCTTCTTCTTCCGACGTATCCTGTTTCGAATCTTCCCTGTTAGACGACTGTTGATTTTCTTTTCTCTCTATATATTTTGTATATTGAAAACAAACACGAGAGAAAAAAAAAAAAACAAAAATGAGACAAAATAATGTGAAAAGTAACACCAGTAAATACTAAATAAGAAATGTGTAAACGCCTCATTTGAACTACCTGGAGAAGAAAAAAGAAAAAAACCCGAAATAAACCGAAAGACGGTTCGGTTTAAATGTCTTGAAAACATCTGGCAGGTTTGAGTCAGGTGCTTTATTAGAAAAAAAAAAAGATTTTTTTTGTTCAGGTACCCGAATTTATATATAAAAGAAAATTTTCATTTTCTACAACTGAACATTATTGATTAAAAAAAAAAAAAATTCACTTGAATTAAATTAAATTAAATTAAATTTTTTTCTGTCTCTTTTTTCCACATCGCATAGTATGACGTCATACCAACGACACAAACGCCTCCCTTATAAAAATTTTTATTCAGGACCGTAACTCACTCTGTATTTAGTATATATATATATAAATAAATAACGCATACATAACAAAAATGCATTAAAAAAAAGTATATGTAAGGCGATCGAACGAGGCGCATTGCCAGACAATTAAGTGGGCGAATTTTTTTTTTTACGATTCTCAGAATCGATTTATTTTAAGAAAATAATAATAATAATAATAATAATAGTAATAATAATAATAATAGTAATAATAATAATAATATTTATATATGTACAAATTTATTAGTTTAAATTCATTTAAAGGTTTTAATAAACTTGCGCACACACGCACACGCACACGCAAAACCTTTTTTATAAAAGAAATAAAAGAAGAAAAACGAATAAAATCCATAATATTTCGTTTATCTCTCTCTACCCCCCACCTCTCTCACAGATATAATTTATTAAACTTTAATGACGATTATGATTATGATGATGATGATAATAAACTTAATATTAAATTTTTTTTTTTGATAAATGAAAAAAAAAAAATTAATACGCATACATAAATTATTTATATTCGAATAAATATATATATAAAAGGTCAGTTTTCTTTTTTTTAAAAAAAAAAAAAAATGGCGGATATCGAGAAGAATTTAATGGCGTCGATAATCGTGGTTTTAGAACACGTTGAAAAATTAATAATAATAATAAAATATTTATGCCACCGACGTAAATAAAAATATTATATATAAATTATGCGTATATATATTTCGATATTAAATTCTTTTTTTAATTTTATTATTATTATTATTATTCAAAAACGAGTAAGTGAATGAATGAATGAATGAATGAATGATTGAATTATTATTATTATTATTAATAATTTTTTTTAATCATTTCGGACTACGACACGAACGATTGGAAAAGAAAAAAAAATGTCGATTTCATCATCGATGACGACATCATGGATTCGATTCGAAAAACGAAATCGAAACGATGACGGAGAAAAATTTGGAAAATTCCGACGCCATTTTGTTAAAATTAAATCATAAAAAAAAACGGAGGACGTTTGAAAGTTTTAATTAAACAATTCCAAAAATAGAGAAAAAAAAATTAAAAAGTTAACAAATTCAATAAAGTTTTTTTTTTTTTTTTAACGAAAAATTCGACCTAAAATCAATGAATCGATGGATCGATCGATTGATTTTTTTTTTCTTACTATTTCTCTCATTTCGTTTTTACCTGTGGTCGTAATCGAACGATCGATCGATCTATCGACACACCTTTGTCCAATTAATTAATTTTCTTTTTTTTTTTTTTTAAATAAATAAAAAAAATCATTTTTTTTAAAAGAATTTTTTCACGATGACGTCATCGTCACACACACGAAAAAAACGTGAAAGAAGGAAGAGTGAAAGAGAGAGAGAGAGGGGGGGGATAGAAAATTCGATCGGAATGAATAAATTATATAATTTTTAATGTCATTTAATTGAATTAATGGCGATAGTGATAGGGAATGATCTATGGATCAAGTTTAAGATGATACCTGGATACCTGATACCTGTTATTCTTTAACTTCTGGTCCATGTGCGGACACTAGCCCGGGGAGAATAATATATACCAATGCCATCTTTATTTTATTTATTTATCATTTATATTTTTCCGTTCTCTCTCTTTGTCTCTCTTTCTCTCTCTTCGACTCCACGTTTTTTTTTTCATTAATAATAATAATAATAATAATAATAATAATAATAATTTAATGATAATTAATTGAAAACAGGTTTTTAATTTTTTTTCGTGAATTCGAAATAATTTTCGGTTAAAAATTTAATAAAAAAAAAAAAGTGGAAGAAGAATTTTTGGTTGTAATAATCGTTATCACGTTTTTTTTTTTCGAATCCTTACGAATACGTCAATGATAATAATAATAATAATATATTTAACCTTTTTTACGTACAAAAAAAAACGAAAGAAATTTCATCGCTATGACGTCACCGTAATAATGAAAATTATCGAAGGAGGAAATTGAATTTTTTTCTTTTTTTTTTTTTTTGGAAAAAAAATTTTTTAGTACGACGCCATCTTGTTAAAAAAGGAAAAAAACCAATCAGGTACGCACACACGCATACACACACTCATACAATTATCGTACGTTTATAAAAACGGTCGTAAAGTTTTTTTTTTTTTTTTCTTAACAATTCGGGTATTGACTCATTTTTTTTTTTACAACATGTCGCGCTCACCATCAAATCAATTTAATTGTACCATTAAAAGGATTTTCAAGTTTTTTTTTTCTTCATCTTCTTTTTCTTTTTTTTCTTTCTTTGTCTCTGTCTTGTCTTTTATTAATTATTATTATTAAACTTTAAAAAAAAAAAAAAAAACTGATATGAATTTCAATATGGCGGACGTTTATTTATTCATTTTTTTTTTTTTTAAAAAAACCATGAAATTATTCAATACGATTCAATAAAGTTGGCAAAACTGTCGGTAAAGAAAAGAAAAAAAACCACGCAAACGTGGAAGGAGGAGTAGAAGCGGCGGGAAGAGGGAGGAGTAAACCGACGAATACGCGATATTGGTTGGTAATGATGATAAACGAATCGTTATATTTAAAAACGACGTGTAAATAGTCGTCATTCATTTAAATATGGCGTTACGACGAAATGTTAGTGACGTCACTTACTTAAAGAGGTGGATGCGAAAGGGAAACGAAAAAAAAAATCTAATTCCACGTTAATACGAAAGAAATAAACAAAAAAGAAAAACAAAAAAAAAAAAAACCGACCAACCGCTTGATTATGATGATTTGATGACGTGAAGATGTTAAAAGGAATATAAATAATAATAATAATAATAATGAAGAAAAATTACCGAAAAGAATTTTTGACGTGTACGCAAAATTTTACAAATCATTTTTTATGGTTACCGTAATTGAAACACAACAAAAAAATTTTTTTTTTCCGGCCATTTTGAATTCGTATCCATTCTTTCTTTCTTTCTATTCTATTCATTTATCAATTTTTTCTTCTTTTCTTTTTATTTCCCCCCCCAACCCGTTAATCTCATCATTTTCAATATTTTCTCGGCAATCTCGGCATTCGGTAATTCAACTCGCGCGCTTATTTATACGAAATTAAAAAAAAAGTAAAAACGACAAACGGACAAACGACAAAACATACGATGTAGTAGGAGAAAAAAATTACAAAATGGAAAAATGATGAGAAAACGTTTTTAAAAAAAAAAACCTTCCATTTTCGTAGACAATTTACAAAATAAAAGAGAGTCCTGAGAGAGAGAGAGAGAGAGAGGTAGAGGGAAAGGTGGAGAGAGGGGGAGAGAGAGAGAGAAAAAAAGAAATTCAAAAGAGGTGAGAAAAGAATAATTGTTAAAATTTTTACTCGGTAATGTAATTACGCATGGAATCATTATTTATAAAAAAAACTCTTTCTGTGTGTGTGCGTGTGTGCGTGCGCGTGTGCGGGGCCTTGAAAAGTCAGCCTGGATAAAAATTAACAAGTCAAATTATCCAGTGTGAGAAATAAAAACGTTTATCGTCCAATCACGGATTTTTTTTTTTTTTTGCGCATTTTAAAATTCCTTTCTCCATTATTTCCTTCTCTCTCTCTCTCTCTCTCTCTCTCTCTCTTTCTCTCACACTCTTTTATTTCTATTTCTTTCTATCTCTATCTCACTTCCATCCATCCAAAAAAAAAAAAAGTGATAATATCGTCGTTATTAATCGAAAAGAGAAAAGAAGAAAAGAAGAAAAAGCAAAAAAAGAGGCAGAGAATGCTTTAAGGTAATTGACTTAGTCACGGTTTGACTTTGATTTTCAAATATAGTTTCAAATTTTCAGTGTCGTATCAAGGATAAAATTTAATTTTTTAAATTTGAATTAAAAGAGTGAGTTTTAATCGGCGTTTGTTCCCTCAAGACGTGATGGAAACAAACGGGGGCGCGTTCTCAGAGGCGTTTTTTTGCGGGGGGAAGAGAAGGGGCTGGTGTTACCGTTGATGGGAATAAAAACAAAAAAAAAGTTTGTTTGAAACTTACCAGTTTCGCTGTCACCGGTGAAACCATCCGGAGCGGGTACCACTTGAAATATTTCATTTATGTCAGCTTGAAGATCTTTTCCCTCTGATCTTCTTTGCAACTGATGTAACTGTTCCATTTGAAGATGTTTCATCGATCTAACGTGTTGGAAAAGTTGAATTTTAGCACGACTCGAAAAAACGCATAACGCGCAATGATATATCCAATCGTCGCAATCGCGAAGTCTTTCTTCTGCTTCGCGAAGATGTCTGAACAGTAAACATCCGGCTTCGTGCCTTTGTCCGGTCGTGTGCAATTGCAATTTGTGAGCGGAATTTGTGTAGTAATCGCAGGGGTGACATCGAACTTGTATTCCGCCCGGTGACGATACGTATTTCAATTTCCACTCGTTTCTCGGTCCTCCTTCTTTGACGTGATTGACGTGCTGCAATCTTTGCAAGTGTTTGTCCGTTTTGCAATGGAGTTGAAAATTTGCTTTTAAATTCGTTTTGTATGTGCAGAGTTTGCAGACGTAATGACCAGCGACCACTGCCAAAATCTCTTGTTCCCTTATTTTGGTCCGATCGGCTGATAAATGGTGCGAGAGAGCTTCTAATGAGTCAGTCGAAAAATTGTTGCAAACGCAACATGTGTACAAATGAGTCGGATTCGGGTCGGCGGGTTCCGGTGGAGGTTCCATCGTTTCGGGATTCAAACCCATATCCATGTGAGCAGCTAATTCTGGCGGTATGTGCGGCGGTAACTGGCCCCCCGTCATCATTTGTATGAGTAAAGCTTGATTATATGCCATGTCGGCCAAAGCGGCCTCGGTATGCGGTGGCGGTTTGTCTCCCGGCAACGTGAGACCGGGATGAAAATGGAGAAGAGATTCAAAATTTATTTGTTGCTGCTGTTGCTGTTGTTGTTGCTGTTGAGATTGCTGATGCAAAGCACTTAGAGTTTGCATGTGTTTGACATTTTGCTGCAGTACCATCATGTTATGAGTATGTTTTTCGCTTGTCATGTGTATTCTGAGATTTCTCGCGACGTTCGTTTCGTAATTGCATACGTCACATCGAAACGTCGGTTTTGGTTTTTGATTTTGAACAGTCGAACTAACGGGAGTCATGTGATGATGAGGCGTGCTCGGACTCGGCATGCTCGTGGGCTTGTGATGCTGAGGAGGTGTTTGATGAGGTGAGTGTTGCATTACGGAAGGACTGCTTTCGGAAGTCGGAACGCCTCCGTTTTGAAGCTCCTGCATGTTGTTCAAATGTTTATCCGACTGCATGTGAATACTGAGATTTCCTTTTGTCGTCGTCGAGTAGTTGCATACTTCGCATCGGTAGGGTTTGTAACCGCATGTGTAAGTTTCTCCGCGAGCTAACCTCGGATGCGGTTGTCCCGCGATGCAGTAAATGCAAGATGTTTCACTTTCCGGGTGTTTTTCTTTCATATGTATTTCTAACGTTTCTTGATATTTATAATGCCAATTACATTTGGGACATTTGAGCGTTTTACATGAGTTTCTTGAATGCATGCCGGCTAAGGGACCGCCGACTCCGCCTAAACGCGAGGAACTTAATATGAGCTCACATTTTGCGCATTCGACCCCACTCGGTCGACCGCCAATGTGATCAGGACAAACTCCGATTGTTGTGCCCGTTAAAAAATTTGGGGGCGGCGGTGGATATGGCAACGAAGATGTTGGCGTAGCGGCCATAAGAGGAGACAAAGCCGAACTTGGAGAAGTGCCTGCTCCCGGGGAAACGCTACTTCGCCCGGTGTTACCACCACCACTACCACCACTTGCCGACACGGGACTTTTTCTAGTTAAATCCATGACACTGTTCATCAATTTACTATTGTTAACACTACTAGTAGAACTACCGTGCTGAGGTAGGGAAACAAAAATCTCAGGAACATGATTTTGGACGACGGGCGACTGCAACGGGCGACGCACTAGAAGGCTGCTCTCCGATCCAGTAGCACCCGCGCACTCTGAGGAACCTTGATTACCGTTACCGCTCGGTGGGCGAGAGTTTCTAACCGGTTCTGTACCGAATAGCTTATGCGGTGGCTTAAGAATAAGAGAAACTGCCGAAAGAGGCGGTTTTTCATCGGGAATGGTTGTTGACAATGGCTCGAGAAACGACACCAGAGGTTCCTTTTCTTTGCCCACGCACTGTATAATCGCTGATGCGTTTTTTTGTCCGAGAATTTCTTTTTCGTCCTCTCGAAGAATTAAATTATGATCTCCCATGGCGTGCGCCACGAAGGATTTTGTGTACCCGAAAGAAAGTTTACAAATGAAACACATAAGAATCGGTTTCACAGGAACTGAAGAACAATCTTTACCGGAACCAAATTGTTTATCTTTGTCCTCTTTGTTGCTTTCTTCATTTTCACGTTTAATCTCTCGATCACAACTTTTATCACGAACCGTATACACCCTGTAGCTGTGCATAATAGGTACTTCAGGAACTATTTTTTTATCTTGCATTATTCTATTGGCAAGTGTAGCGGATGATCCATACAAAGCGCTATACAACGAGGGATTACGCGAAACGTAAAAAGCATTCGCGATTTGTGGAAACGATTGCGGTTGGGACGTGTTAATCCCCCTGCCATCGATAATGCATCCGTCAGCTATTAATTTCGGAAGTTCGGCAATCGTATCTTCTTCACTTAGTTCGCTATCGTCGATTATATATGCCGAACCGTCCGGATTGTATACGATTTTACCATCAAATTTTTCAACGTCACTTGTTCCGCACGAGTCTTCGTTGTTTTCGTTGGTTTCATGTTTTTTAGGCGAGTCATTAACGGGACAAACTTTCGTCCCTTCCTCGTCCGAGGAAGCCTCATCGTCAGAAACCTTTGTTATGTGCGATTTTTGAACGCGGGTACATGGCACGTCATCTAATAGGAACTTACTGCCTTGTGGCGGCGAAGACACTCTTCTTTCATCCTCACGTCCGGCAATCAAAGCCGCCGGCGGAGATGCTGACGCTTCTTCTTCCGGACTCATAACTCCTTCTCCTCTTCCGTGTTTTAATTTTTTTCTATTCAAGGAACTTATAAAGGCGGGTTGCGACTCTACGACGCGAGATAAATTTAATGGCGGACCGTTGGTGCGACGGTGCTCATGCTGGGATGGCGCGGGATCTACAGGCGCGCCAGCTGTGAGCGGGGTGGGCATGGCGACCGACGCAAAACAGCGTCTTCGACCATCACATTATGCCTCGATAACACCCTCCAATCTGTAAAAAAAAAAAAATACTTAAAATTATTTACGAATAATTAAAAAACAATAAAAACAACAACAACAACTACAAACACGACGACAACAACAACAAACAATTTTATTAATTTAAATAATAGCTCATAAAAAATAAAAAAAAATTTATCTACCCTAAAAATCTAATGAAACAAATTAAATAACAAATAAAAAAAAAAAAAATTAAAATTTTTAATTTTCCGTTTTTTTTTTTTTTTAATTTTTTAGTTCCGGGACGGGCCGTCATCGTTTTTTTTTTAAGGTGTTTGCGTTTTGGGTTGTTGTTGTTGTTATAACAAAATTAATCTAGTTGTATAATTTTTTTGTTATATTTATAACGATAAAAATCAAATAAACACTGAACCATGTAAACAGGGGAGGAAGAGAGAGAGAGAGAGAGAGAGAGAGAGACTCGGTAAATATTAATGAAAGACAACGAAATAAAAAACAAACGTGAAAAAAGAAAAAAATTCAAAGCAATTATGTTAATTACACGACAAAATAAAAAAAAGAAGTCAAATTCACATGGAAATATCGAACTTTTAACGTAAAAGAAAAACTTGAGGGATTTGCCCTTTGACCTTTGCGACGTTTCATTATTTAACGTAACCTGTTTTTCATTTTTTTTGTTTGTTTGTTTGTTTGTTAAGTTAAAATTTTTTAACAAATCCGATTGAATCGATCATAACAATCTGTAAAACGACTAAAACAACTTTTTGTGTTGAATTTGCTATGCTTATATGCGTGTGCTCGAAATTTCCTCCACCACCACCACCATAATGAACAACAACAACAAACAAAACAACAAAAACATCGTGATTTTCTGGGTGGTCAAAATAAAAACCGTTTTGTCAAAGACAAAGAAACTTTTTTTTTAAAAAAAGACAATAAAAGGAAAAATTTGTCTAAAATTGAAAGGTACGAAGATGACGACGACGATGACGATGACGTCGACGACGATTGTTGTTGTTGTTGTTGTTGGATTTTTCTCTCACCTGAGAATTTAAATTGTTCAGAAAAAAAAAGAAAAAAAAAAAGAAAACAGGGCCGATTTCTAATTTTTAACTATTAACATGTCATTCATTCGGTAACTCAAATAATAATAATAATAAGTTTGTCGTTTGTTTAAAATGATAAATATATTTGAATAGAATTCTATTTAAACAAAAAAAAAGAAACAACAACAACAACAAACGAATAACAACCGCAACAAACAAAATAAACAAATAAAAATCTTTTTTTTTTTCGATTTGAATTTTACTTCAACTTTTTTTTTTTCTCTCTCTCTATATCTTTCTCTCTTTCTACCTTTTGGGAAAAAAAAAATTTTTTTTTTTTCCAGGCACGAAATAAAATTAAAAATTTTTTTAATTAAAAAAATAATAATAATAATAATAATGATGATGATGACGAAAGCGTAGGTGTTGATTTCCATAAGCGTGTGTTTCACGAAGTTTTATTATATAAAAACCCGCTCCAGTAATTATTATTATTATTATTATCATTATTATTTCAAGGCGTTTTCCAGTTCCTCACTCTCGTACGGATTCGAGCATTCGAACATTCGAAAAAAAAATTATCATCATTATCATCGTAATCGTTTTCATCGAATTATTATTATTATTATTATTATTATTATTATTATTATTATTTTTATTTAAGAATATCCTAGTCTTTCTATAATTTTTTACTCATTATCAAAGGATTTATTTTTGAAATAATAATTTTTTTTTTCGATTTGTGACGTCATAAAAAAAAAAAAATTTGGGATTTAACACGTGCGACGGTGTTGTTTTGTTTTGTTTACGTCGAACCTTTTTCTTTTCTTTTCTATTTAGAACGGATGGAAAATTTATATATAAATATACACGCACACGCATACATTCTCTCTCTCTCCTCTCTCTCTTTATTAACGATCTTTTTAAATTAGTCCCACGCAATAAAAAATTCGAAAAACTTTTTTTTTTGTTGTAGTCTTTGGGCCAGAACCAACGAGTTCAAGCAACTAATTATCTTATTCTTGTCATTTCCTTTTTTTTTTAATTTTTCTCTTTCTTTTTTCTTTATTCTATCGTTACAAATGAGCGGATTTGAGTTTTTTTTTTTTTTTTTTAAAAACAAACAACAAACTCAACAACCATTAAAACAAACAAAAAAAAATTATTATTAAAATTTTTTGTTATTAAATCGAAAAATAAATTAATAATATTAATAAAAATCGAAATATAAAAACGAAACGAAACAAACGAGTTATATATATATGTAAAACAAAAACGAGATCGTGGAAGAAGAAACACATTGAAAATGACAATTTACCACATCCACGTCATCTTAAAAAAAAAAACCAGGAACGCATTAAGACGTGTTTTATGATTTTTAAGGTGGGCTTAAATGGCCTTATTCAAGGTTAATTATTTTTTATTAACAAAAAAAAAAAAAGTTCCAAACGAAAAAAAAAATGAATAATAATAATAATAAGAAGTGTAACCAGATTCTCTTCATTTTTATCATTATCATCATCAAGTTCTTTAACTGTCGTTGTGTAATCGTCACCATCACCCATTATTATTATTATTTTAAAAACAGAAATAATACAATCGACATTTAATTATATAAAAAAAAAGAAGTATAATAATAAAATGGCGGATTATTTTAATTTTTTAATTCTTAATGGATTAAATTCTTTTAATTCCTACCCCCCCACCTCTCTCATCTTTTATATTATCATTATTCGTGATGATGAGTGATGGATAACCGACCAAGGTGACGATGTTACTACCCCCGTTAAAATGCGGAAAATTTTTTTTTATTTCAATTCACATTTTTTGTTATTCTGCTTGAGGAGAGAGAGAGAGAGCATAAATACGAGTTCGATTTCTCTCCTCCCCCCTACCCTCAGTCCCGTTTTTTTCTTTAAACTAATAAAAATAAACATAAAAATCTAATAAATATGTATATGAAATAAACAAGAAAAGAAATTTTTAAATGCGTAATATGATCGTTAGATTAAAAAGGAGGAGAATGAGGGGAAGGGGGAGGAGGAGGAGGTGGAGAAAGAGGAAGGAGGATGGAAAAGAGAGGCGAAAGGTAAAAAAAAAAAAAAAAGATGATAAAAACATAAGACCATAGAGATATTATGGTAAATAAGGGAGTGGCATCGTCAATGGTTCAATGGTTACACAATAACGAATTACGGTTTATTACATGCCACGGCTCCTTCCTCCCCTCTCCCACCCCCCCAAAAAAAAACGATTTAATTATCCACCTATTAGGAGGCCCCGAGGTTTTGATTTTTTTTTACTTTGGCTCCACATCAACGCCATTTTTTTCTTTTTTTTTTCTCTTTCTCTCTCTGTCTCAAAGAAAAATATTAAAATAATAACCTTTAGGTAAACAGCGTCGAGAGAGAAAGAGAGAGAGAAAGGTTAAAACACGCTGGAATTCCAGATTACAAATACAAAAAGAGAGAAAGGGAAAGGCTAACAAGTCACCTTTCGACGACGTTTTGCAATTTCATCGGCGAGTGCAAAAAGAAAAAAAGAAAAAAATTTTCACCGGGATTTTTCGCGTGGGATGTGATAAGAAAAAAAAAGCAGAAGAAAAATAAATAAAATTTTTTTTGTAAGAGAGCTCGAAAAATAAAACGAATTTTGCAAAAGAATAATCAACAGCAACAGGAAAAATTACAACCCCAACAGCACGAAAAAATCGCCCTAATGCAATAATAAAAGTAATAACTGGAAAAAAAAAAAATTTTCTCTCTCTCTCTCTCTTTATTCCTATTTTCTCTCATCGTCTATCTATCCATCCATCTATCCATCTATCTATCTATCTACCTGCCCATCCATTCATTCATTCATTCATTCACATCCATTTATATATTTATAAGTAAATTTCGAAATGGAAAATGAGAAAAAAAAAACTTTTCCAGATTGTTTTTCCAGCGGAAAAGGATCCATTTAAAATTTAATAGTACAAATTATTTTTCATCGTTTCGAAGGTTATTGTTTTCTTAACGAGAAATTTCAGCTTTCCTCCCCTCTCCCTTTCTCTCCCCTCCCACTCTTTCTCTTTTTGTTCTTGTCGAAAAGTGACATCAGAAATACGAAAAGAAAATTTAAAAAAAAAAATTTTTTTTTTCCGTATTTTTCCCGTTTGTTACTTCCTTCCTTCCACTTTTTTTTTCTTTCTCCCCCCCACTTCCCCTACCTCCCCGAGTTCTTCTTCTTTTTCAACTTTTATTCATTCATATATTTTTTATTTATTTATTTATTTACATTTTTACGCGACGATGAAAACAAATATGCGATTGTAAAAATGAACGATGAATGAATGAATGAATGAATGAAGGATTTGAATAAACATACACGCACGCACGCACGCACACTCAAAAATTAAAATTCGATGGAAAAATAATAATAATAGAAAAATTTTTCTTATTTTTTAAAAATGTGGCGACAAATCCACGGTTCGTCGTCGTTTTTAAATTATTATTATTATTATTAATATTAATTTTCTAGAAAAACGTTTGTTCTATCGTCGAACGCTTTCGAACGAAAACTTTTCCGTTCGTTTTCAAAAAAAAATAATTTTCATTTCACGGTTTTGCCCATCGTTCGTTTCTTTTTTTCTTTTTTTATTATTTTCTTTATTCTTTTCTACTGCCACGTTCCGTTCGAAATTACTCATCGAACGGATGCACGCATATAAACATTTTAAAAAAAAAAAAAATTAAAAATTAATCGCCCGCCATTTTTTATTTTTTATTCTTTCGTTTCTTTTCACTCGCCTTCGGAAAATCTTTTTTTCCCGTTTTTTTGTCTTCTGCTTTATTATTATCATTATTATTTTTTTTATTAACGAAACATTCTTACGTTATAATTTACGTTTACGTGTGATAATACAAGAATGAAAAAAAAAAA